TTACTGTGAGTTGGTAAAATGGGCGGGATTTAATAGTTCATCACTCGGGAACACAGGACCTGGACAACAGGAGTAATTATCGAATATTCTATCACTGTGTAACAACAGAAGACAAGGGCCAGGCAACAGATCGTTTTATTATGAAAATCAACACGTATTTATACATCTTTCAACTACATTATTATAGACAAGCGCAGTCATCTGATTGGTTGTTTAGGTAGACAAACGCAGGCTTCTGATTGGTTGTTTCGGGATTCCTTGACAAATAGAGTTCTCTCTGCGAATCATATTTTGCCACGTTAACTTTGCTGTGATTGGTTGTTGACTCAGGCTTGTTCATATTTTCTCACGGCCCATATTAGTGACCTAGACCTTAACGTAGATTAGTGCCAACCAATCGGCTAGCAGCCTGCTCTCACCACACTCGTCCCCCCGTCAAATACGTGCGACTGAAGTCGGCTTGATCTACTTGGTGCAGGCGTCATCGTTGCCTTGTCTCGCTGTATCCGTTTCTGGAGCTCGCTGACGTTCACGCGCCTCTTATTGTTCGCCATTGCGACTGTGTCTGCGTAACCCCATCTCGAAGTGACCATATATGGTCCTTCCCACTTTGGAAACTGTTTGCCTGACCCTGTCGAACATTCGTCCATACTTCGGCTCACACTTTCATATGCTGCTTTCACCCGACCTCCCAGCAGCGCCCCAAGTAGCAGCTCCATCGCTGACAGATCTTGAACGCCACTCAACTGCGCAGAAGCCTTGAAGTCCTGCCCGAAGATCCATATGTCTCCATCAAAAACAGCAGGGCATAGGCTTTCCATTTGTCGGTAGGCAGCGACACCAAATGTAACAACAGAAGACAAGGGCCAGGCAACAGATCGTTTTATTATGAAAATCAACACGTATTTATACATCTTTCAACTACATTATTATAGACAAGCGCAGTCATCTGATTGGTTGTTTAGGTAGACAAACGCAGGCTTCTGATTGGTTGTTTCGGGATTCCTTGACAAATAGAGTTCTCTCTGCGAATCATATTTTGCCACGTTAACTTTGCTGTGATTGGTTGTTGACTCAGGCTTGTTCATATTTTCTCACGGCCCATATTAGTGACCTAGACCTTAACGTAGATTAGTGCCAACCAATCGGCTAGCAGCCTGCTCTCACCACAACTGAACAAGCTAATCAAAATTGGTTGGATAAAAAACCAAACCCAAGTACATCAAGATCTGCACTAGCTACTCCATGACGATTTGCTTAAAGTCCACATGTAATTGCTTGTTTTGAGAAAATTATATTGAAACCCTCCAGCGATTTTCTAAACACCATTTGAGAAAAAACTTTACTACACGTTACTGTTGATTTATTCCAACCACTGATAGCAGCATATTTCCTAGTTGTTAGGATTCGATTAATTTCAGATGAATATTTCATAGGCGACCAGTTTGTTTCAATCTTTTTTTAACTATTCTATTTTGGTTGTAAGCTATTAACTGCAGATCAGCAGATGACATGATAGTTCGCTTCTAAGTAGTAGTCAACATATTCGAAAATTTTAAATATGTGGAATTAGGTGACAGATTAATAGGATTATTAGTGCACATTTATCCTTTTAGTGAAATTATTATTATTATTACTTGCTTAAGTATGTAGTTAACACTCAAAACTATACATTTATATATTTTTTCTTTCTCTCATCTAGTATCTACGATTTGCTGTTTACATATGAATTTCGATTTGGCCGCATCTAATGAAATCATTTTTAAACAACAAATAATAAAACTCATTGACAATTTCGCTATTTCCATGTCTGATATTCACTTATTTGTTTTAGAGGATGGAAAGACATTAACGCGTGGTTTTTCTTCTTTTTTTATAAAAAAAAATTTAAAATAAAACTTTCGTATATGCTTAAGAATATTTTATGCATAAATTGTTCTCGTTCGTTCAGTTTTCAATATGCGTTAGAGAAGATTGTTAGATTATTGACTATCGGGTGTTTAGAAAGCAAGTGAAAAGCAACAAGTCTCCAGAAAAAGTATCAAAGATAGGACTCCAAGTGAACATAGATAAATCGGAGGTGATGAAGATTCCTGACCAACAGCTACAGCAACAACAACAACAGACGACAATCAGCATAAATGGGAGAAACCTGGAAGAAACAACCTCCTTTACCTACCTGAGAAGAATCGTCTCAACTACAGGCAGATGGAAATGATGAGGATATCAAAGCAAGGATCGGGAAAGCAAGACAAGCTTTCATTACTCTAAAGTCTGTGTGGAGGTCAACAGCACTCACCATCAAAAATAAGACTCAGATTCTCAACTCTAATGTGAAGTCAGTGCTACTATACGGATCAGAGACCTGGCGCGTCATAAAGAGCATCTCAAACAAACTACAGACCTTCATTAACAGTTGTCTTCGCTCAATTCTCAAGTTCAGATGGCCGGCCAGAAAAGATCAGCAACAGATCTCTGGCAATGAGCGAACCAACACAGCAGGAACCGATTGTGAAACAAATAGGCAGGAAGAAATGCAGATGGATTGGCCATACTCTGAGGAAACAAACCATCAAGTGACATCACACGACAGTCCATCGCTTGATTGGAACCCGAAAGGGAAGCGGCGAGTTGGTCGTCAGTGCAAGGGTGACTTGGAGGAGGTCATGTGAAGAGGAGATGAAAGCATGTGGGGAGACTTGGAGTGGGGTGAAAAAGTTGACAGAGAACCGAACGCAATGGAGACGCACAGCTAGAGCCCTATGTTCTTCTAGGAATCAAAGGATATATAATAATAATAAATAACCACACTTAAGGTAAACAGGTTATTACTCTTAGTTCTACAGTCATTTACTTGATATGCATAGTTAGAGGATGTAAATCAGCTTTAATCTAAACACTTTTGTTGGTGTATATAAAATAATTTTGGCGAACTTTTATATTTTCCTTCTGTAGTTATACAGTTGAGTACTTATTGTTATGGAACGATTTCTTACAGAATTAGGTAAATTATTTAAAACAGTGTCTACATATAGAAAAGACCTATTCATTCCTAAGAGCTTCAGTGCCCGAATGGAATGTCAAGAACGCCTAATTATTTAATTTCTTTTTAATTTTGAGAAATGTCTCTTTAACCCTTGACTTTGAATTCAGTGCCACTTAGTTTACACTTCCCTACATTGGCTCAACCAACAGTTGAAAACTTAATGATTTGGTGTCATGTTTTCGTCTGACCACATCCCTAAGTCTTTCAAGATCTTATTCTATAACAGCTAACATTTGTCGTTGATGAATTAGGTGACTTGGCATGTCTAACTCTCATCTTAGCCAACCGAACGTTGAAGTCTCAGTCGTAACCTAAAACTAGATGAAAAACTATGTCGTCACGGGCGATATTATGTCATTAAACACAAGAAGTAGTAGGCAGATTCATTCATGCAATTTACTCCCTATTTTTAAACTGGAAGTTGCTGCAGGCCTAATAACATAGCTCTACATTGGATGAAGTAGATTCAACCTTCGAATGCTCTTGATTTTCGTTGAAACTCATTCCATGATTTGTCCACAGTATGATTACTCATGTCTAAAACTGTTCATGATTTATTTAGACTTATAATAAATGCGGTACACTCCATAGGAAAATAAGTTGTCCATATGATAATTGAATCAGGCTTCAAAAGAAACTGATTGTCGGTGAACTTTTCTATCTACGCATAACATTATCGGTTACTTAAACAGTTCATTCACAAATGCTTGCATATTTACTGGGTCCTGCTATATTAAGCGGTGAGAGCTCACTTATGCAAGAAAGAGCCTTGTTTGAAAGCTTTTCGATAGATCATCATTATCTACTAAGGTAGAATCCAGGATGCGCATTTCATCCTATTTCGGATTCGTTAACTGGATGTACCTGTAGTCCCTAGTGGGAACGCCACCACTCACTGAGGACTGCAGGTACATCCAGTGACTGAGTACAAGAAACGATGAGATGTGCATCCTGGATTCCACTGCCGGTAATTACCAATTACCATCACGTTGATCCTCAGACATCGTTGAAGAGTCCGTACTAGGAGCTTATATGTCAGTAGAGACCAAATATCTAGGTCCAACTTAATCAGTCATCAAGGAGTGCAAACTTAACCTAAACCCGTCTATTTGAAACGTGCTTAAAAATTTTACCCAAGCATAGAACACCAGAAATATTTTCACTCTTTCATTTTACATTGTCATTTATTATTTGTAGATGTTTCACCTTGGGAAAAACAATTTTAATTTTTTGAACTACTGAAAGACATTTTAAGTAGACAAACTTTATATATAAAACTTTCAGGTTATAAGTTTGGCAATCCTATGATAGAATCCATCCACTTCCTGTATGCATGTATTGCTGTATAAATTGATGGGACTCCATTCAAGCCACATTGAATACCCGATGATGCAATACCTGCAAGGAACCAGCTCTGTTCACAAAAATGAAGGATAAAAAAGAATTTCATGTTATAAATAAAATTACAAAATCATTTTAAAATAATGGTTACTAATGTAACCTGTGTGAATCTCAACAGAATCTAGTTCAGTTACCGGTTCGAATTTTGTTTAGTCTCAGTTACTGGGTCATTTACAGCTACAAACTTTCAAGATTAGTGATAGTAGTAGTAGTAGTAGTAGTAGTAGTAGTAATATACTTTAGTTTGCAGGAAGGAAAACAGTAATCTGAATGCCTAATACATTTGCAGATTGATATCTAAGGAGAAACATGACTACCTGAGCTTAAATAGACCAACCAACGAAGATTTGTGTAAGGAAAAAAGTTCATTCACATAGATGAATCGGGGAAAAACTACAAACATCAATATGTGACGACTATTTGCAACATAAAATGGGCCAAATTCCAAAATTGCCTCTAGATTTGATGGTCCTCACGGATATCTTGTATGAGACTTGAGTGTATACTTTTGAAAATTGCCAATTCTCCAGTAATTCTGTTTAGTTTTAGACTGTTAACACGACCGACTGCCAAGTAGAGCTTTCAGCAGTGATGATGGTGATTTTACGCAGCAGAACAGCTGAGGCAAAGTGCACAGTAGAGTTGTGAAGCAGTATACACAACATTCTTTAGGCGAGTCTTTAATAATCTGAATAAATTTTAACATAAAAGTGGCTGAAAGCTGAATATATTCCTTGTTATTAATTCCTAATAAGTCAGAAGATCAAGTCTTAAGTATCTTTCAGTTATTCGGTTCTTAATTCATCTGATATGAATAGCTTGATTGCAATTTCTCTGACTTTGGCACTGAATAGTGAAGGTTAGAAGTATTACAGGTAATCCAAATTACTAAATCTCTAGATATGTCTTGTTGATATATGACAGTAAACATGACACCGAAATCCACTTCCACCTACCGACTAATCCCTTCCTTGCATTATTTAATCTACAACTAGTTATCTGATCTATAAGGGAGTAATATGTCCAGTAATTACATTAGGACTGGATACTTATCAGTAATATCAGAGAAGAAGGGAAGAGGAGAAAGATAACTAGGTTAAGAAAAAGGCAAAATTATTGTATAGAATCTAGTTTATGGATAATTAGAAAGAATAGAAGAAGAAGAAGAATAGAAAATAACAATAATAATAATAACAATCATGGATCTCTTGACTCCTGAACTGATTTTAGCCAAAAGTTAATTTTTATGGCGTGAATTAGAACAACAGAGTTGAAAAATGTTTAAATATCAAATAAACAGGCGTTTTCTTTTTGTAGTGGGTTAACTCAACTTAAGCAAGTAAATGATATTCTTCTAAGGATATATATATATAACCCGTTCATAACAAAAATTAGTAGGATATCGCATCATTTTTGTGTATATCAGAGGCTATATCAGCCAAAACTCTACGAAGTGTTTGATTTGATCAAAATCAGTTCCTTTGTGGATAAGATTTTACTCTGATAAGTCACACAGTGTTACTCAGTAACATTAACTGATGACGTTTCAAGCACAAAGTATTGTTCATATTCATAGCAGTAGCACTAAGTAGCACAAAAAAACACCTAAATGATGAAATAAAACAGATAGAAGAGGCCTTGGTGTTAAATAACTATCCTACAAAATTCATTAGGAAGTTCGAAAAAGGCCAAAAGCAAAATAAAAATAATTTTGAAACTAGTAGTGATAACATAAATAAGAAGAGAGAATATAAGTCATCTACTGTTATACCAAATAAAGAGGGGACATCTGAAACCCTACGTAAGATTCTTAGTAAAGCAGGAATTAGGGTGGCATTCAAACCTACAAACTCACTCAGAGACAAGCTCTGTAGGCTAAAAGACCCCGTGGACTCAATTAAACAAAATAATATAATTTACAAAATACTTTGCAATGGCTGTGAGTGAGGTCAACTATATAGGTCAAACTAGTAGATCGGGGTAATCAGATTCGTGATACATAAGAATTTAACTAAAGTAAGAGTGGTTGACCCCGAGAAGATAAGTAATTTAGAAAAGAGCTCAGCGATTGCACTGCGTGCATTAACTGCACACAACCACATAATAGAGGGGGAGAGGGTTCAGATTCTAAGGAGTAATCTGTGTAGGTGGAGAGAGATTGATTACTGAATCCCGGTTCATTTAGTCTACACCCAACACATGCAACCGAAATGACTCAATGCGAATACCAGAGATATGGAAGATATTATTACCACCAGTCAAATCAGAGGAGAATAATAAATAATCTCAAAATTCTATTTTGATTCAAGCACATTACAACATTCCAACAAGTTACTTATTATGACTTTAAAAACTCTCGTCTTATTTGCCATCTGGTTGTAATTGATCAATAACACTCATTTTATTATTTTTGAATGCACATTATCCCACATTGATTTTTATTCAAACATCTAGTCAATTCCACACATGTATATAAATGAAGGAAAAGAGTTGTGTGAGTTACTTGATATGATAATGAGCAATAGTTTGTGCTCGAAACGTCATCAGTTAATATTACTGTGTAACACTGTGTGATTTATCAAAATAAAATCTTATCTATAATTGAGTTGTACTTTATCACAGTGCCCAAGTTTTATACTTATATCGGTTCCCTCGGCTGACCATAATTTTCCTTCAGTTACTAGGATGCATATGATGAGTTGTTGAAACACTACACAGTTATTATTAAAAGTATTTGAGATAACTACTGATGGGAATTCTATTCAAGATCCGATAAACAACAAGTAGAATATACACACTCACAAGGAATTGCTAAAAAACCTCCATTCATATGACAGTCAGTAGGATTTAACTCATGTATAATAAATTCAGCTTCCTCTGGTTGAAAAAAGCGACATATGGTACTGTTGATCTATTAAGTGCTATCCACTGATTTCCTTGAGTTGACAGATATCCGCTCATAAAACCGGGTCACCACTGTGCTAGATCATGAATTTTCAGAAGTTAACAATCACAGACTAGGGATGTTTGACTTAAAAATCGAATGACTATGTAGCTAGCTTTCGATGGCCTCTCTTCTCTTGGGTTCATCGATTAACACTACTTCCCAACTTTAAACTGGAACAGAATGACAATGAGCACCTGCTTGCTTCATTGATGATTCTTTTGACTTATCTTATTTTATTTCAATAAGACACTATGAAGATTTTTCGTTTTTTATATTCCAAGTGTAACATACGACTTCAGCTATCTGAAATTTCAGTAATAGCCGTGTAGTTTTTTCTAGCAGCAGGCTAGACAGCCTCATGCTTAGCTCTCCTTCTTTTCCAGGACTATTACTGGTTAGAAAACTAGGCGAGGTTTTGCAGTATGTCGACCGCCAGTCAAACCTAAATCACAAGCACCGCTGGCGAGCATTCAACCACTGAACCTCTGAGGCATATATTCAGAACATAAATATGGCGGAATTGCATTCTATTGTAGTTTCACTACGGTCACTTTTCAACTATCAGGACTAAGAGTGATCAAATGTGAAATGTGTGTTCAGTCAGCTGTAGTAGGACCCTGGTAGTTATTTTTTTTTGGTTCGTTTCAAATTCTGTTTCCGAATCTAGATTTCAATGAACTGTTCAGAGGCAAGTCGGTTTATATTAACACAACCACATACTTGAATTATTCCATTCGTGAACCTGATCATTATACTATTACATCCCGCTTTTCTGTCTACTTTACATATTTTGGTGAGCTAATCCTGTAGATCTGTATCGAATTACCACAGAATAGACTGCCATTAGACATCAGAAGTCATTTAACAGAAATCTCTGGCTCAAATAGACTTCACACTCATTAGTATTCATCGGGTAGGCGTAGCTTTGTGAAAGCTTTTTTTTACCCATACATCATTCCTCACCAAAGTGTACAGTTTCAGTACTGAGATACTGAGACAACAATTGAGAGTGCATCGGCGGTGGATTTAATTCGAAATCCCCTGATGTTGATCTAACTCCTCTGACTAAGTTTTTAATTAATTCTTAAGGTTAACAGACATTTACTTGTGTATGCATGTCTCCCCTTTTATTGTATGAGTTAATTTCAAAAATATCAAAGACAATTAGTAAACACATATTCATACCTTTTCGTGTTCCCCATAACCATTTGTATCGATGCACAGAAGTGGTCCACCGCTGTCTCCTTGACAAGTATCTCCATCTACATAACTTCCACCGGCACATAGGTAACTGTTACTAGAATCATCAGTGGATGTTCCCTTGATCCAAAACTCCGATGAGTGTTCTTCTACCTCTTCTTCATGTGGTCTCCATTCTTCTTTATAACTTCTATTCTCCTCTTCTGCTTTTATTTTATTCCATAACTTATTACACGACTGTAAGTGTACAACTGCAATATGAAGATCTACACTAAATAAAAATTAAATTACAATTCTCTATACTACTGATAAACTTATACAATTATCCGAATTTGAATTCGCTTGACTTCGATATTTTAAATGACCAACACCTGCAACTAAACATGTATACTTTAGATTATCAGTGAATAATTTCTCAGTCATTAGTAAATCATCATTTCTTATATCCATCAGATTGTACAACTGATCTACAGATGATTCAATTAATGAATGTTTTAGCTTAATTAATGCAATATCTGGTGAAAAACTTTGACCTTGTGTGAAGTTTGCATGCATGATCAACGTTTCCACTGATTTTGTATTACCTTCAGGTTTAAAATATACAGTTGAGTTGTGATGGTAATAATTTAATTTGGTTACTTTTAGATGTCTTATATCACTTGGAAAAAGAGAAAGAAATTAGGAAAATTAAATTTCATACTTTCCAAATGGACTGATACAATGAGCTGCAGTTAATACCCAATCACTGTTGACAAGTATTCCACCGCAAAGATGTCTTGGTTTTATTGATTTAAATCGACTCCAGGCATAATTAATTGAGACAAATCGATCCAAAAGAAATCTGAGTAAACTGTTTGGAATTTGTACAGTATGAAAAAAAGAGTTTTGTGCAATTTCTCTGTCATCTATAGTTTTCTCATTATTCATTTGATTCATGTATGATTCACTAGTTATCTGAACTATTTCTGGTTTCATAAAATCTAATTCTCCGTAATGATTGACAAATAAACGAAAACCTCCATAGATGACTGGTTGAATAGAATTGTTATAATGAGAGTTCACATTATCTGGAGAATTGTAGAAAAGGCAGACAGTTTTAATGGTTAGGTCGTTATCACATTTTCGGCTCAAGAATTCATTCATTAACAACTAAGAATTTCTTTAGATCGTCTTGATAATGAATGGGGTATTTCCTATTCGAAAATTCAACCGAAAATTTATATTCAAGTATTGGTTTGTATAGATTTAAAACAATTAGTCCCTTTGATAAATTTGAACAAGGCATTAAGAAGACAAATTTCGCGGGATGATATCATTTCGTAGTTTCTTTACAACCGCTTTACAACTAACATGGTTAACAATGATAAAATAAAGTTCATGAAAATTACTCAGTTGAATAAAAACAAAAGTACATACTAATGACTAAAGACAGCATCTGTACCAAAGAAAGCCATCTTTATTAATCTACCATTCAAGGGCGACCGGATTATGCAGTTGACAGCTCAAAGACTTCGATCAGCCATCAAACGCACATTCTACGCCGCATCTCTTTTTCTCACTTGCCGAACATTTTCGATCCCTGTTCCTACGATTAAAGGACGAAATTCTGTGGACCCTACTTCAAACTGTATCTACAAGTTCACCTGCAGCTGCGGTGACACCTATATAGGTAGAACTAACAGAATGTTCCAATGTCGTCGAAAAGAACATATTCCAAAATGGCTAGTAAATCATATCGAAAATCCTAACGCGATTAATCTTAATAGAAATCCAGCATCATCCATTGCAAAACACTTATTAATGTCTGGTCACAAAATCAATATTAATGACTGTTTCACAATTACTTCACATAACTCTAATCCAAGGTTGGTTATTAAAGGTGATGGAAGCACTTTGGATTAATCACATACAGTCTAAACTGTGTGTACAAAAAACAATAGACTTCAATCTTCGCCTACCCTGGTCTGCATGACCTATCTTAATATGATTGGTCATTAGTATGTACTTTTGTTTTTATTTAACTGAGTAATTTTCATGAACTTTATTTTATCATTGTTAACCATGTTAGTTGTAAAGCGGTTGTAAAGAAACTACGAAATGATATCATCTCGCGAAATTTGTCTCCTTAATGCCTTGTATAGATTTGATTGGTTGGCTGGTTACAGGATTTCATCATGAGTTGACATTGGTTTGAGAACCGAAACCGTCTGAGAACCACCGGAAAACATGGGAGAACTGAACTTCTGTTTCGCCAGACTAGTTTGGGACTCCTCATCAGCACGCACCCACCACAGGGAGTTCGAACCCAGGACCTCCTGATTACAAGACTAGCGAGCTCGCAGACCATTAAGCAACAGCCACTGGGACCCAACCCGATCCGATGGCCAGCCAGTCCATGAATTCTAACTCCTGCTAATTCACGACATAGTGTGACTGGCACTAGTCAGTGTCTTCGGCGAGTATTTGTCCTCACGCCCGACCTGCTGAGTCGTACTGGTCATGAATTCCAACTAGAACCCCAGGTAACACTTTTCAAATCGAGTTCATGTTAGGTTTGTCTTAGACAGTACTTTTTTTGAAACACTATACCTCTAAAGTCCAATATTTCAGCCGTTACTTAAAAAAACTGTTTAGTTAAATTAGATTACCATCCTATGGAATTTAATTGCTCATCAATAAAATTTAATGTGTTTGTTTAAGGAGACATGGAAATGTACCTACCTATGATGCGTGTTTTTTTATAATTAAAAAAGAACTATTGGACAAATAAATTTAAACATATCTGATAGAAATAAGTACTAACCTGAATAATCATCTTATATTTTTAACTATTATTTCTTGTCTAAAATACACGGAAAGAAATTCATCTGTAAAGAGTCCATGTTTGAGCATGCGTGTGCACGCCTACGGAAGTTTTATCAAATCAAGACAGGTTTTTCCCAGTAGATCAAAAATTCACAGTTTGTGACTACAGCCAAGAATGGGGACCGTAAAGCAGTGTTGGTTCAGTTGATCTTATATTATACACATTCTGATCTCGCCTTCATTACTAATGACAGTATATACCATGTGTACAAAATCCTCACGCCTGTGGTGCTGTTGGGCTTTCTAAACTAAAAAGTTTTATTGTTAAGGTTTCATTATCCTTCTGGCCCACATCATTAGTGATAACTTCAAAATGTAGATGTCGTGAAGAAGGATAACATGAGAGAAGAATACAAGAAAGCGTATACTTATTCGCCTAAGTCAGACTGCCTATTCAGTGTTTCAAAAATATGAAGTGTTTAGCAAGTATTATCAGTTATTAGAGTTTACTTCGAGATGTAGGAACATACCGTAAAATTGTACTGGTATAAATTCTTATCTGAATGATTTCTGTGGCCTGGATGGTTTAATGGCGATGCTTTCATTATCCTTCTAGAAAACATATTCAGTGCAAGTTCCAGTATTTTTTCTTATTCCTCTACGTTCCCGATGGAAGATAGACCTCCAAGCTGGAACTCTGAAGTTTAGGTATTAGGTTTAAGCGGTGGTGTTTATTTTTACGGGATGGGATCACTAGCCTCATACTCAACCTTCCTTGTTTACCAGTCTTATTACTGGATTACCGAGGTTAGGGAGTGCGTCGGCCAGGGTTCGAACCCTGAGCCACCTGCGTGGTTAGTGAGCATTCGACCGCTATGCCACCGATGAACAAGCTTCATTATGAGGGGAACTTATTAGAATTCTCCGTAAATGACATTATTGTATCTGCTGAGAACCCCTGTTGTGATATGTTGTTAATTTATATCAGTACAGATCGTTTTTATTGTCATTTGACTTACTCTTTATTAGCTGATAAATTCCAGATATAGTAATTTGTCTGAATACCAAGCTTCCGAGAATACCTCGGCATTTCTGGTGTAACACAGTTTAAAATTTCTACATTTTTTGGCCACATTCTCTTAGTGAGAATACATAGTGGTACACTGGTGAGTTCTGCTGCCAGGAAGACGACAGGATTAAATCCTACATCTGTGTATTAATTCAACCACTGAATTTATTTAATAGAATTTAAAGAAAAAGCCTCCTTTGAATAAAATATAAAAGAGGCAAACAGTTCAAGAACCACTCACATTGTTACTAAGATGATATTACCCATTGGAGAGTCCTTAATTGAGATAAGATATCTCTCAGGTGTTCCAGTACTGTTTATCAGTGGCACACTAACCGATGATATCAGTCCGTGATGAATTCTAGCCTATTATAAATCAGATTCCCGAGGAAATGAATGAATTCATTGGAAAGGAATTCCTTATGCTGAATTAATTATTCTATAATTGGATGAGTTTGTCCAAGATAAAGTTAACAATAGTCATCAAGTTGGATTTTAGAAATTCATCAGCACAGAGTAGATTGTTTTGATCTTCAGAAATATAACTTAAAAGGAAACGAGAGAGAATTTTTTCTTAGAGAAACCTCTGTCATAGAGTATATTCTCGGCTAACTTTCTATTTTTGTATTTGTTTTCTCCCAAACAAAGAGCGGGCAGCTAGGAAACAGGCATTAAATGGACCCTCACGAAAGAATTGGGGGATCTGGACTACACCGATGGTATGTGTCTGATTTCCCACAACCTGAAAGATATGCAAATGAAAAGAAACAAGTTGGAAGAAGAAGCATCAAAGATAGGACTCCAAGTGAACATAGATAAGATAGAGGTGATGAAGATTCCTGGCCAACAGCTACAGCAACAACAACAGACAACAAACATCATAAATGGGAGAAACCTGAAAGAAACAACCTCCTTTACCTTCCCACCTGGGAAGCATCGTTTCAACTACAGGCGGACGGAACTGACGAGGATATCAAAGCAAGAATCGGGAAAGAAAGACAAGCTTCCATTACTCTAAAGTCTGTGTGGAGTTCAACAGCACTCAGCATGAAAAATACAATTCAGATTTTCAACTTCAATGTGAAGTTGGTGCTACTATACGGATCAGAGACATGGAGCCGTGTCACGAAGGACATTTGGAACAAACTGAAGACTTTCGTTAGCAGCTGTCTTTGTTCAGTACTCAAGATCAGATGGCCAACCAGAAAAGATCAGCAACAGGGATCTCTGGCAATGAGCGAACCAACACAGCAGGAACCGATTGTGCAACAAATATGTAGAAAGAAATGCAGATGGATTGGCCTTACTCTGAGGAAACAAACCATCAAGTGACATCACTAGACAAGCCATTGCTCGAGTGGAACCCGAAAGGAAAGCGGCGAGTTGGTCGTCAGTGCAAGGGTGACTTGGAGGAGGTCATGTGAAGAGGAGATGAAAGCATGCGAGGAGACGTTGAGCCAGGTGAATACGTTGTCGCAGAAGCGAACGCAGTGGAGATGTGTGGCTGAAGCCCTATGTTCCTCTAGCAATTAAAGGAAATAATAATAATTTGTTTTCTCCCATTCGTATTTTCTTCTTTTCGTTAGGAGAAGAACACGTTACTGTCACCTTATTCGGCCATAATGACAAGCGCTAATTTGACAGTGAATGACTGTCAAGATATATATATATATATATATTTCAAAATGACAGAGGTTGGAAAGTGTTGTTCATCTGAGTTCCACCCGCTGTTTTCTGAGTGATAATGTCATCCATACAAAAGTTATATTTATTTAATTCATCACTGAGTTAACTTCTAAGACATCTACACGATGCAGAACATAGATGAAGAAAATACAGATGTGAAGAATATGTACAGGGTCTAGGATAGCTTGGTTTTAACGATTAGAGTCCACATTAGTGGTTCCATTAATACTAGTTGAACTCAAAACGCAACCAGTGATGAATGAATATGAATAAACGAAAATTAGCAGCAAAATAGCGGCTATACTGCCTTCGTTCTCCACCAGGTTTCTATTCCCTACTCAACTTTTCTGGGTGTTTGATAGAATACAGAGTGTTTCAGTAGGTTTCTCCGCTTTGCTATCCGATCAGTATGTTAAGAGCATACACGTTGAACTACAACTAATATTTTCTGCTTTCATGCCTCGCATTAAGTGGTTGATTTGTGTTTATTCGATGCAAAGGGTAGGTAAGTAAAAGTCAGTTGTATAAGTCATAGCTTACCATTACAAGTTAACACAAGAGATTAAACGGTTGGAGGCAATCG